CAATTAACTAAAATATTAAAAAGATGTATAAGTAAAATATATTAACTAATAATAAGTCTGGCTAAACAAAAAAATAATTTATTATACTTTTCTTAATGATCATTTGAACCAAAAGATGTGACAATTTAGTAAAGTGAATAAGTTGTCAACTCTTTAAGTAGTAGGTAGTAAGTTCAAAACCTACTGATAGTGAAAATTTAGATAATTACCTATGTAATATATAGACAGTATTATAGTAACAGCATTCTGTTGATCAGTTAAGATAAGATATCTGTAACACAGTTATACCAGCATGACTGGCAGGTTATAAGACATCTGCAATATTGGAATTACACAGAGAAATGCAAACTGACATCAGGTAGTGCAAACTTAAAATAAATTTTTATAGTTATATAAATCTATTAACTAGAAAGCCAGAGCCCACTTGGAAAGATCCAAGTAAAGAGATAGCACAGATCTTTAACAGTATTACTGTAAAGGCTAGACTTAGAAAACAGATACTAATGTAAAAGAAATTGGGTAAGCAAGAACCTTGAATAAGGGATATTACCAACTTGACTGTTGAAAGTCTTAAACTAGAAGAAAAGAATCTTGAAGGCAGACTCTAGAGTATCAGAGACAGGTCATAGTCCTTTCAGACTATCTAAATTGAAAGTCTGAGATCAGAAGCAGAATATATTATAAGTACTAGAGATATGTTATAAAGTCAGTGCTGAGATCTGTGTGAACTTTGCAAAAGTGAGCTCTGTTAATAAAAAACTAAATATAGGTAGTTAGTTAGCAGAAGATCTTCTAAAGCCCTACAGTCAGGTAATGTACTCTAAAATGTATAACAGCTTGACAAACATATAGACAGAAAGGTCAAAATTAGGTTAGACAGCACTTCAGTATACAGGAACTTGTGTACTATTTGTTAGTATAAGTATAAAAATCAGAGTGTTTAAATAGGTAATCTTCTAGTAAATTGCAAGTATAGTAACTAGTATAGAATCTGTTATACAGATAAACTACTTAAATAAACAACTAAAAGTTGTATATATAACTAGTTGTAAACTTACCTTGTACAAGTTATATAACTATAATTAAAATATAATAAAGACAATAGTTACTGATAACTATGATCTTAGTAAAAGTCAAAAAAAAAAAAATTATTTGAACCAAACTTTTCAAAAACTAAACTACAGAAAAATAATATAATTAATATATTAAACTTTATAAAAACTTTTTCAAAATATTGTATATATATAATTAAACATTAAAATAAAATTAAAAAAAAGTTGCAGCTTAGAGATGAGGTCTTATAGCCTAGTGGTCTAGGTGCCTCTTTTTTCACAGACAAGGTCGATAGTTTAATTCTAGCTGGAGGCAAAAAACTCTGTAATCTACAGAAGCATATAAATATACACAAAGCCCTGTGGCTAAGTTCATGTGAATAGAAAATCAATGTATAAGGAAGTTCCTAAAAAGAAGTTTTTCAATATGGAGAGTTGGTGCTAGATGCGAGAGATGCAGTGAACATACCAAAAATGGAAAAAAGATACACTAGCAAATAATACGATGAACATAGAAGGAAGCTACGAAAAAGGAATAAACTTACTAAAATTTAAACACTTCTGATATTAAAAACTGGTTTAGTAGATATGGGATATACTAAATTGGATCTAAGTAGTAATCTTAATACCAGCTTAGTAAGCTTGTATTGAGGGTGAATTGAGAGCTATGGATTAGTGTAGGAAATCTAATGTTCTCATGTTCTCAAGAAAACATATTTTTGAATTTGAGAACATTTGTTACTTTAGACATGTACTTTATAAAAAAATTTTTGAAAACATATTGCTTGATAAATATGTTCTTTATATATTATAGTACAAATTAAGATGACAATTAGAAAATAAATAAATTTTGAAAATTTCTGAAAAGAAAATGAACAAACATAAAAGACAAGCAAGTTTAAGATAAAAATTTAAATAAATTACCAATATTATCTAAAAATTTTCAAAAAATAGTAACAGTGATTTTTGGTATTGAGAACATAAAAATATTTTTGAGAATATTAAATTAAATAATTATGTTCTCATGAGAATATAAATTTCAAAACAGATTTTCAACACTGCTATGAATACTTGGTAACATCCAATAAGATAATATCTTAATATAAATAGTAACCAGGTAGCCCTAACCTGATATGTCTTATAATGATAATATAGATGTTGCATATATATGCAATAGTGTTGAAAATCAAAGACTTTAAACAGGGAACTCACAGGCAGGTTTCAGGTATGGCAATTAGCAGATAATTTGTGGTCAGAACCTTTAAATAGACAATGACTAAAGTTGTATGTGTGGCTAATTGTAGCCTTGTTGATAGACTTTGTATATAGAATGTAATCATATGTTACTTAAATAAAGACATATAAGCAAGATTGTTACTTTAAAGAAAAAAAAAAGTTGCAGCTTTATAGTAATGATTTAGATACACTTTAAGACTATAGAAGAAGTAGTTAATAAAAACCAAAATTTTTTATCAAGTAAACAATAAATTTAAATAAATTAGTTCTATACAATTGTAAAATCTACAAGAAACATTTATAAAGAGCAAGAACTCACAAAAGTTACAAAGTTGGTTCACCTCTCATTTTTATTTTATTTTAAAGAAAATTTTATAAAAAATAGATAATTTAACTTATTTCTTCTAAAAATTAATATATAAAATTACCAAAATAATCAGTAATATTTATTTTTTAAATAGGTTTATTAATAATATAGATTAGAAATAATACAGTAATACAAACATAACTATACACATGTCTTAAAATACTAAAAACCTGAAAATACTGTTTTTAGACTAATTAATACTCTATATTAATCTTTATAATCAAGTTGAAGTTTTTTTCTTTCCTATATAGTTTTTTATTAAATAATCTAAGTAAATAGAAAAATAATAAAGTTATTTCTATTTAGTATAGTTTATAATTTTTAAAAACCTAATATAGGCATACAATTGTAACTGTCTTATATTTATAAATTACAAGTTTCACATATTTTCTTTTTTTTCATTTATTTTTCTTTTTTATTTCTTGATTTGTATCTTTTATTATTTACTCCTATATCTTTATTTTATTTTTTATATAAAATTTTTTTTTGTTTTTTGCTTTCTTACAAAAAGATGTCATCAGATTAATAATGTTCTATTGTAAGGTGGCAGTCAGATGAACAGTTTATCTTTAACAGAAATGATGCAACAAATTGTATTTAGATATCATTTGGGTAGCCAACTAATATTAAACTTATATATCAGAAAAATTCTATATAATTTGTATAATTTCAAGAATCCTAATAAAATACTAGTATGATTGCTTAAGTTAAAAAAAAAAAAAAAACAATAATAATAATCTATAAAAAATATTAAAAAACTGCATAATAGAGTATAAAGATTTTAAAAATTGTAGAATACTACAACAAGAATTAATAATAAAGCAAGCAGATAATCTACTAGTAAGATTAAACAGACAAGACAGCCTTGAACAGCTAACAAAATTAAGAATAATACAAAGCTGTCAAAAAGCAGATTTAACAAAAAACATACAAAAATTTAAAGAAATATCTAAAAATAAAGGTTGCTAGAAAAATAATTTAGCTTGTCTAATAATATTAAAAGCAAAAAAGCTAAGAATATATATAAAAACAGAAAATAACTTATAGAATATATTTTACAATAAATATAAAAAATACAATATGAAAAGATTAATGAATAAGAAAAAAAATAGAAATAATGTGTAAAATAAAAAGAAAAAAAAAAGAATTAAGTAAAAAAAAAAAAAACAAATCAGAAAAGAATAGAAAAAGAAAAGTGATGACAAAAAAAAAAAGCAAATCAAAGAAAACAGCTGTAATTTCATGTACAAATCCACCCGGTTATTAAAACATAATTTTTTTACAAGTTTTCGAATTTTGGGTTATGACAGCTGTTTTCATAAATTCTAGAAGATTTGGCAAAAATTGACCGACTGAATATTTGCCGATTATCAAAACTAATCGAATCGGCAAATATTCGCCTGATCAATTTTTGCCAGATTTTCCAGAATTTATGAAAACAGCTGTAATTAATTTTGCATGGCCTTGAATTTTTTACCTGGTTGTGTAACAATTTTCGGGAACATGACGCCCCATATATCAAGGATAAATAATAGATGGATATTGTTATAAAGAACTCTGTATATAAATATTGTCTCGTGCTATTGTAACTATTGAAATTTCTTAAAAAAAAATTCTTGGAATATGGTGTAACAAATTATATAAATTAATAATTTTTTTATAGATAATACGTACAAAATTAATGCATGGTTATACAAATTAATGAATGTCCAAAAAAAATCTTGAAAAAAAGTCGAGATATTAATAAATTTTAGCTTTATAAGTCGTAACTTGAATTTTCATAAAATTTATTAGAGCGATAATTTGAAAATGATATGTTAGCATATTAACATAACTTCTTAATATAGTTAAACATCGCATGATGACCGTATGTCTGGAATGTTTTATTACAAATGCAGCAATGTTTTCGTAAAAATTGACCTGACCACCCTTAGATGCTAATGCATTAAATAAATAAATATGTGGATAAATAAATAAATAAATATTCTTCGTTAAATAAGGTATTTAAAATAATTGCCTCTATAAATACACGTATTCTATTGTAAAATACAGATGCACATGTGACACAATTAATGATATCTTGGTCATAAAATGTAAAACCTGTAGTTTGATCCCCCCATTATTTTAGATCTCTACTCAATAGAAATGTTCATCAATTTTTGGGTATTTGAAACATTTAAACTAAATTACATGTTTATAACTATTAAATAAATTAATGCAACCGTTACATAAGAGTATTATGTAGGTGGCACATAACCAGAAACAAAGTCTATTAATAGATTCAAATTCAAAGAATTGAATAAATAAAAAAAATGAATTAAATAACAAAATAAACAGTAGAATGATTAGATTAACTTACTTTTTGATCTGATACTAGAATTATTTCTTATTCTTTTCAGCACTTTGAGTGCATTATCAATTCGTGTAATCCATTCCATTTTTTCTTCAACTGTCGTTGCTCGAACCGTGTGACATGCTTCCTTTCCTTCCGCTGTGGTGGTGATTATTTGAAAACAAAAGGGTTGATCTGCCTCATCATCTCCAATATCAATTAGATATGCATTATTCAAATTAATTTGTCCGGTGTACAATAGCTTTCCTTGGAATTCTATACAAAGGAGAAGTAAATCATTAAATAGAAAATGAGCGCGTCTATCTTCCGTTGCTATGTAGTAGGGTTTCACGGATGACATTCGTTGAGTAACTTTATATAAATCTCCTTGGTATATAAATCTTCGAGCAGGATTTATTATATTGCCGGGCAGTCTTTCTACTTTGTTTTGGATTTCTAATACTTTTTGTTGGTTTTCAGCATCTCGTATTCTATAAACAAACATAACCATTAGTTTTACAAACTTTGAAAAATATGACGAAACGATTCTTAACATACTTTTCATTAACTTCCTCGGCAATCAAACTAATTTGGTGTACACATTGTTCGAGATTTATATAATCAGGGTGTGTTTTCTCGGTATGTTTTAATAAAGCCTCCAACAATAATTTGTAACGAGGTATTCGTTGAATTGGCAAACTCAAGAAAGAATTGAAAGGTAAATTTCCCAATTCTGGTTTTGCCTGACAATTCTGGTAACATACAAAGATGTATATGAATCGTTAATAATAATTGAATGCTTAGATCTTTTATAATGATTATAATGAACATTTAATGAATACCTGAATAAATTTTTTAAAATCTTTGCTCTCTTTATTGAGACGCTCCATAGTTGCTATTGCTTGTGGAAAACCTTTCAAATAAGCACTATACATCTTTAGATAAGGTGCCTAAATGGAATTATTAAAAAATTGAACAATAAGATTAACTATCCAAGATATAATAAACAATATTGATTTTTTTTCATTTTATTTTATAATCACAAATCTCAATTAAATCATATGTGCAACAGACAGATTTATGACAGAGCATATAATTAAATTTTTATTCATTGCGCTTAAACGTAACTTTTTGACCAATTGCAAATTTTTTTTTAGATTGATTACACTATGGCAGTGTAACTTCTTACTCTATTATTCAAAATCATTTTTTGTCATAATTTATCTACTTACGTTTTGTGTAAATATATCACTAATCTTTTCAGTTGGGCTCCATTGCCTATATCTATGCAATCAATAAGAAATTGAAAATATAAATTTAAACCATAAATTTAGCTAAAATGTGCTACTAAACAAAGTAGTTGTACCTTTCTTCTAGATATTTTAACAATTGTTCGTGGAATGACAATAACGGCTCAATGTTACCAAATAAAGATGAGATATCTTCCAATGTAGCAAGAGGTTTAGTAGACAAGATACTTTTTTGAGCAGATTTGTAGTTTTCTCGCAGGGGTACTAAAAAACAATTTACAAGTTTTCTCAGGCCATCGACATAAGTTCGTTCAGTAGTAAGAATTTCTTTAACAGCAGAATCACGGTTTCGGTTTTTTGCTAAAATAATTGATCACATAAGAACTTTTAAATCGATTAGATAATATAATAATTTAAATATCTAAATATATACCTTCTTGTGGTGAACGTATATTATCACTATTGGAGGGCTTTACAACCTTCTCAGATCTATCAGTATTGTCCGAATAGTGACTAATTAATTCAAAGACATCATATGGTGAAGATAGCGTATCATCCGAATTAGGGAGATCTTGTGAATTAATTGGTTGAAGAGGTGGAGGGAGCTGTATCTGGCCATCATGAGTATTAGAACGTTGATTTAAATGCTGTTGACGTTGTCGATTTGTCGTGGCAGGTAATGACGAATGATTATTTCGATCTCGTGAGTTAATAGGAGCTACATTATCATCATTTCCTTTTAATGATGAACCTCTTGGGTAAACTTTTGGTGATGGAGGTGGTTTGAATGTGGGTGATGGAGGTGGTTTAAATGTGGGAGAAGTATTATATGTTGGAGAAGTATTATATGTTGGAGAAGTATTATATGTTGGAGAAGTATTATATGTTGGAGAAGTATTATATGTTGTATAAGTATTATATGTTGGAGAAATATTATTCGGTTGACGCGTTGGTGATAATCTTGGAGAATATTGTGGAAGTGGAGGAGGAAGTGCAGGAGACATTAAAGCATTGCCATTTTTTGCTGTTGACCTCTGAATTACCCTTTGATGTGAACCCAGAAGAATGCCACCATTTTCAACATGATTCGATGAAGGAATTTGGGTTGAGTTTTCATTTAAAGAGGATGAAGGAGAGTGCGCATACATGCGCTGTTTATAATTAGATATATGATCAATGTTCGTGGAATCATTTGATATTGTATAATATACGTGTTCATAATGATCACGTTCATTAAAATTGTTGTCATGTCCTGACATTTTCGTGCTTTGACCATCTTCAACATACTCATTATAAGCACCAAAGCTGTTGTAATTATCACGGCTACTTCCATCCGATTTAAGGCCATAAATAGAATCGTAACTCATATACCCGGAGTCACCACGTGACATTATAACAACACGATATATATATACTTGCTGAAAAACCCAAACCCCAAAAAAACAAATTGCTTTTATAAAAATTAAATAAACAATATACTATATACAGCTATAAGAACATATATTATTTGTTTAAATAAAGATTATTAATAAAGTTTTTGAGATATTAGTTTGGGCTTGAGTTTGGGATGGACAAACCCAACTATAGTATGGGATTTGGGCGGCAAGTATAGATATATACGGAATATGATCCCGTCCCCACACTATAAAGAATTACGGTCAATTAAATGGATAAATATAAATGAAATTTAAAGATTGCATAAGAGTGCATAGATATCAACCTAGAACGTATTTCAATTCCTAGAACTAATGCAAGTGAAATAAAATTAGGAAAACAAGTGGTATTTATTATTGCATCGTGTAATTAAAATTCACAAAAGTTTTACCTGTGATTTTAAATACGTGACCACAAGAATGCCTAGAAATAAATTAATTCAAGTATCAATGCTATGCATGAGACATAAGATAACCGTTTTTCGAACTTAAATATATTTATAAGATCCTTAATCACCTAAGATGCGTATAAGTATAGATATTCACCGGGTGTTTCTATTATGAGTTATAACGAGAAAGAGAAGTTATAGCAAAAGACATAAAAAGAAGCAACCATAACAAATAGACACTCTGAAAACATTTAGACAAAATGTTTGTCCGAAATTTGTTTTTTTTTAAAAAGGGTAAATCTTGATTTAACCAGACTTTTTTATAGCAAGATAATAAAATTTATAGCATAGACTGAAAATTTCAACGCAACGTCACTAACTCACCAGGTATCAGTCAACTCACAAGAGATAGGGCAGGAAAAGAATAGTAAGAAGACAATAAACATAATTTAAGGTTGAATGCAGCATTTCTTATCGTTTCACACCCACTGATGTCACACAGTGAGATGCCTTGCATCTTTTGTTTATTGTAAAACATCAGAACGAAATTTGGTATTTTGGTATTGTAAAACATTAGAAAATATCAAACCGAAATACAGATTTGAAATTTTCAAAACGTACCACCTTCTGATTTTTTTAGCTTATCCACATGGATGATTTTAATTCGTCTGTGTGATAAGCTGAATTAAATAAGCTCAACACGACAGTATCGACACGGAAGAATTTAAAAATATAATTGATAAGTAGACAAAAGAATAGTAAAAGAATTGCACGCATGTACCTGTCCACAACAGGATTATTAAGCCACGAAAAGTTAGCGCTAAGTTACGATTCACGCACTAACAATGTTGCAAAATTTCATGTTTATCAAATTTGAATTCATTACGTAGCATTAGACGTTACCTAATGCGAAAAACAATTTTCCAATAACTTGATATAGTTTAACAAGTTTTGTATTTATATACTATTTATATTATGTATATATAATATTATGTATTCCAATTTTTTGGATCAAAAGACTATGTCGGTATGCAAAGCGCAAAATTAGTTAATTGTTTCTCAGAAATTTTTGAATGAAAATTTGATAACTTTGAAGCAAATTTTCTTGTGGTTTTTTTTTTTTTTTTTATCCAAAAGGTTATAACCTTTAATAAAATCCAATAACTTGTTATATATCCTATTGAAGTAAGAGGACGACAGTTATAATCTAATAGATGCAGTACTTTTCTTGTAATCAATTATACACCAAGGTATAATAAAAATTACCATTCTTTCTAAAGGATTTAATCCTCTAGTAACTACGGCTTAAAACCAAACTCGGTAACAAAGTTCATAAAAATCGAATTTCGATTCTCTGAGCTGATTAATACATAATATATTAATAATACATATATAAGAATAAAAAATTATTTTATTTATTACAGCTGATTTCATAAATTTTGAAAAACTGATAAGACTGTTGATGCAGGCCGACTTCGGTAACTATTATAATTTTTTCATAAATTTTGGTGACCGAATTGAGTCTGAATTAATAAGTACCGACATCGGTCTTATATAGAGCAAAATCGCGGATCGTTGAGTTAAATTTACTTTCTAGATTACATTTACAAACGTAATAAGTAATAATCATTCGTCATATGCATGACGTTTACACAATTGCAGACGTATTGATAATTGATGCACTTAAAATTTTAGTTACTTATTCTTCAGTTCCTGAAGATCCTTTATACAAAGTTTGAGTAACAGTTAAAGTTGAAAATAATCTTGATCCTAAAGTTGAACGTTCCTTTACTATGCTTCTTAAGTCAAAAAACTGATCCACTATAAAATATTGTATTAAACAGCAGAGACCATTAATGTTACACATATATTAAAACTGGTGAGGGATTATATCCATCACAATTGAATCCAACATAATAACTTAATTTGTGATTGATCACGGGCGAGAAGGATTCACTTTGGATCGGGCACTGTCTCCGCCGTTATTATCATAATTATTGACGGCGTGTCAGTTATTTGACTAAGAAACATTGTAAATAAACGTTCAACTTTAGGGGCAAGATTATTTTTAACATTACTATTAACTATTAGTTAAATTTCGTACAAAGAACTCCAGATACTCAAGAATAAATATCTGAAGTTTTTAACTTAACTTTTATATTAAACTTTGAAGAAAATTAAAAAATAAAAAAATTTATATAAAATTTATATAAAATTTAGGTATTTGATCAATAAGTATGCAAATCTAACATATAAACTCCGACATGTACTGCTGTACTGGGGAAAAAAATAAGTACGTAATTATTACTTCCATTATTACCTTGCCCATCTCTAGTCTTAGTTTTCCAAAGGTGTCCCAAAATTTATGCAAACATCTGTAATTCGGACTCAGTAATTTACCAATTCGGTCAATAGAAAATTTTTCAAATGTCCCAAAATTTATGAAAACAGTTATTGCAGTTATCCAGGTAACCTAATGGTTAACTGGTTGGATATGATCACTATTCATAAAGGGTTATCATTATCCACTAATGAAATCGATGGCGGCTGTGCACCGCTTACATACAGATTTGATCATCTTTTTAGGAAATCTATACATTCATATATGTTAACCAAAATATTCTCAGCCCAACTGACAATATGATAAATGGGACTTCGATCATGTAAATTTATATGATCGAAGTCTGGTTCTTTGGTGTCACTCAATCTTATATTGATGAAAGCCTCCTTTTATTAATCGATTGTCTTACATAAGGAACGTGTTTCTCCTGCATTTTTTTTTTGTCTAATAAACATGTTAAGGGATTCAAAATCCAATTTCGTTCTCTAGTCTATCAATTGCATATAATAAATATGTTTAAGTTAACTCTCATAGGCAAAATCACGTTTATTTCTATCATATTGCAAGCGATAATAATCACCGTCTTGGAAGCTTTTGTTATTTATTTTCATGTTAATTTTGTTAAACAATATCAATTGACTCCACAAGGTGATGGAATATCTGAGGCAGACTTAATTTACCATGCAATGTAAGTAATCCTTTACAAATCAATCTTTTTAAAAAGTTTATTAATTTATTTTTTCTTTCATTTTCAAGATTTATCCTCTCGCTATTCTTCCAAATACTTTTAGCAGCTGATGCTCTCTGGCATCGCAATACTGTTCAGATAATAGCCCTTGTCATGTTCAATTTCCTTTCATTAATTTATGCGGGAATACAACTTTATCAACACCAAATCCTTGAGGACGAGGGAACTATAGGCGCAAAGTATAAACCAGATACATCTCTTTTTTCTATAAACGACCCGGAAGCGCCAAAAATATATTATCAAGCCAGGATGCGGCCACTCGAACATACTATTATTGGGCTAATATCAGGATTTTCAGTATATTTGGCATTCATGTCTTATTTGCTCTCCAAAGAATTTGGTTGGGAAAACTATAAAACTTATTCCGCTGATCTTCTGGTTCGCAACACATATTTGTACCTCACAGTTTTACAGACGTTGATTAAAATGGATGTGTTCTTTATTGGATCATACGCTTTACAGCTTATACCTTCTCAACAAATTGGTTATTCATATAGTATTATAGAAGTTGCCCTTGTCTTTTTTTTTGGCACTCTCATGTTGCTGCTTGCTTGGTTCTCAGTCACCATGGAACTGAAATATCTCTTATTATCGGTGATCAATATTTATTCTCTCTCATTGATTTATTGGGTATATCGACTGGTAACAGTTAACATTAAAACTTCGACAGATGGAACTGGTATTTCTTTGTTTATTTACTTTTCTTCCAATCAAATTCATGGAATGTCTATTCACATAATTCGACGTTTTTTCTATCTTTAATTAGATCCATATCAATTCACTCGACGGTTCCTAAGCTTCTTTTTAGCTACAACATTCGCACTTGTAGCATTTACTGTATTTTATTCCGTCGTTTGTTTTCGAAACATGATGCGTGGAATTTATGTACTTACGGTATTTGGACAGCCTGAAAATGAAGTCGAAGGTAGAAGTCCATATTTAGGCGTAGACAATTTATCAACTCAATCACCCCAATTTATGTCAAAGAGACAAAGTGCAATTATTCAACAACAGCGATTACGAGCGCAAGAACCCAAAGTACTTCTAGATTAACCTTAACGACATAACAAGAACTGGAGGATGGATCGAATAATTAATTAGCAATCCACATAAGAATGATAGTATTACTATATAGTTACTATAGCGTTAATTACTATGTTCTAATATTACAATTAAAGTCTTTTTTCTCTACAATTTTATATAGTTACAAAAAATCAAAATATAAATATTATATAATACTAGATTGAAAAAAATATTTCATAACTATATAATAAATTTAATAGTAATTTACGCATATTATCCTTCTTATGCGAATTAATTCTGGACTTATATACATCATAACGTCAACAGATGAATTTTTTTTTTACCATCCCCACAATAATAAAAAGACAGAAATATTGACAGTACATTTAAATATTAAAAATATCATAACATTTATTGTTTATTCGTATGTATTAGTTTGAGAATGTGGTTAGTCTGTAAATACTATTTCGCGATCTGAATTTGATTCTTCCCAATAAGAGAAATCGAATGATATTAAAATTGCCTAAATCCAATTACTAAACTGCCAAGTATCTTTAAATTTATGTCTCAACACTATGCTATTCAAATGAGAAAGATTAGAGCGAATTATGCACCTTATGTTCATTAGATTGAGATAAACCGGTTGTCAAATCACGAGAATAGTTAAAATCTGGGATATGATGTATCTTTTATATCTCTATTTTCTAATAAACATTTATCTATCCTTGTTAGATGCATTTTTGTATATTGAACTATATCTTATTATTATATTTGTACTAATTAAAGTTTTTATTGCTACCAAAGGCATATTTACCATATCTAATAACAACTCAATCTTTGTTTTAATTTTATTAATAAATTTATTGTTAAATCCTACCATAAAATAAAAAAAATAAGCTTTTTCTTGTTTTTTTTTTTTATTAGTTATATAGTTCTTAGTTTATTAGTTTTAGCTAAGTAATTAAAAAATCTTTTAATAGTAAATTAGTTTAAGTATTTTGTTAAACTTTTCTTAATTAAGAATAGGGTTTTCATTATATGCATATTTTGAGTAGAAACTATTTTTCTTGCATAATTTATTAAAAAAAGGTTTACTTGAGCTGAAAAATACTCTATATAGCTAATTTCTGGATTACTTAACCTTTCTTCGCATTATGTTGGCATGTTATAGAGTATAAAGTATAATTTCAGAATACGTATATATGCCATCAACAATTCGTTCAAAGTTAGCTGTTATATGTAGCGCATATGTAACTGCACATTTCAATGATTGACCAATCAGAATTATGCTGGACTGTATTTAATAAAAATAGTGGAGTAACCTATGTATTATCATCAAAATAAGTTCTACGTTATAGAAATTAACTGCTAATATATGAATAAATAGAGAATGCATAATTTTACATAGCAGATTTTTTATTCAGAAAGTGATCACCAATAAGCTGGATTAGCAATGGAGCAGTGAACGGAGCCAATGAAGCCATTGTCAATCCTGCCTATAAGCCAGGATATTATTATAAATGTATTTGATATGCGTTCATGTTATTCGTAGATTAGAGAGCACATCAGTTAACGCATTGTATCTTTACTTTTTATTAAAATTCAGAGAAAGTATATCAGGTATTTATTAAAATATTATGGTTGGTCAGTATTATATATTATGACTTGATTATTTGATCGTTCTTATGGATTAAAACACATTCTTAAATATTATAGATTGGATATGTCTTTTGACATTCAAGTTGTACAAAGTGACATTCAAATTTGTACAAAGTGACATTCAAATTCAAATTTTGTACAAAGTGACATTCAATTTTGTACAAATAATACGCATTCAAACAGAATGATTTCCAATACAAAAAAAACATTTGGTTAAACTGTTTACGTAGTAATCTAATTTAAATAATTTTAATTGTTTTATTTCCTTAATAATAATGTTTAGTATTAAATTGAATTACCGTATATCGATATTACTGAATATAACCAAAATGATGCGGAGTTTATATTTAGGTATAATAGATTTAATTTTATTAGTAAAACATAACAAACCTTTGTCAAAAAATTAGGCTAATTTGAGAAATTGATCATTTATTTTAGGGGAATTTACAAATAAGGGCCCAAAAAATGAAAATAATTACAAACAAGGGCCTAATATAAAATTATTACAT